GTCTCGAAGAGATCATCGATGAGGGCAACGGCGCACGGGGCCTTCGTCGTTGGGCGGGTTGTCGAAACTGGCGTGGCTGGCGAGTCGCTGGCTCCGTACGCAGCGGCAATGGTAATGATGCCTCTTTCGTGCGGTCCATCGAAGGAAAGTCTGTCGAGGCGATGCCGCCGATGGAGCATGTCGGCTTGAAGGCCGCAACCGCCGCCGCCGTTTTCTTGTACAAGGCCTCGCAATTGGCGTTCTTCCACGTCTTGCCTCCCTTGCCGTTAAGCGCATCGGCGCAATCACTCCAGTCGAAAGTCTCGAAGAGATCATCGATGAGGGCAACGGCGCACGGAGCCTTGGTCGTGGCCGACACGGCAGCAGCCAGCGCCAACGTGAGGACGGCGAGTAGCTTCGTCATGGTATGGATGTCTCGAGTCAAATGGGAAAGTGAACGCATCCGTGAACGAGATATTTGCCAAGATCTCGCTGACCACAAAAGTACTGTCCTTCAACATCTGGTTCACGAGAAAGCATTGCACAGGTTTGTGACGACTCGGACCCGACACCACGGAATCTTTCTCTTTGGCAAGCACGTAGCTTAACCAAAGAGCTCTGAATTCCACACCCGTCGTCAAGGTTCGAGTGCGGCGATAGCGCAACATCAACAACGTTTCGTGCGCTGGCATGCATTTTTTCATACCTGTATGAAAGGGATGCGCTGCGGTCCGTGGGCGCAGCCGAGTCGAACGCGACAATCGTGGGGGCACGGGGCGCTGTGTATTTTTTCTACTTAAGGTGTGAATACATGTATCACTCAATTTGCCGATTTGGCGTGTGGTACGCTCGCCTCCTTGGATTGTGTCCAAGGCCGTGTTGCCTGGTCAATTCCTCCATTGCGATGGTGTACCACTGCCAAGACCATGAGCGGCACGAGTTGCCACACTGCCTCGTTGAAGAGCCCGATCATCCTTCGGCTTCTCACATGTCAATCAATACTCTGTATGCTTGGCCACGCCGGCGTCGTAGCGTCGCTCAACCGAGGGTCCACCCCGTCCAAGGTCCTCTGGCAACTTACTTAAGCGCAATATCTTTCTTCATAGACGACGACGACCCACTTTAGAACAGTAACAGCAAGCAGTCACCCAACGAAGACACGATACTACACTTTGTCTTGTGCATGAGCGATATGTCCCGTCGCACCACTTCAATTGCACGACGTTGCGGCGGTCGAAATGCAACCAATAAATTGTGAATCTTTTGCACACGCTCGTAGAGTTGATTGGATTTCGACCGCCGCAACCCCGTGCAATGGGTTACTTAAAGTGGTGTGATGGGGCTAGTAAAGCTAGTACACAGTAGTGTCGCTTATTTTATGATCAATATGCACCTTTTTTTTGGCTGGATTTGGGTGACGCCATTCCAAGGGCACCTGGTGCCTTAGGCCATGGCGCGCTCCGGCGTGCTGTGTGCTCTGTGACTTACGTCCATAGCTGTGTATGTGCTCGTCGCTGGCAGCAGTCGGTGCTCGCGCCGATGGCTCCGCTCTTCGCGCGCTCGGCATCCAATGTCCCTCGATGATTCAAGGCCCGTCGAGTCCCCGACGGCCGTGAAGGAGATTTGCGCAGCTCACTCCCAAAGACCAAGTTTTGGTGCCAGCTCCCACGCATTCAGCGAATGCGACGTCTTCGAGTTAGTTTATTCTAATTTTATTTGAACGCGAACAGGATTGAATTTTGTTTGATTGATTGATTGACAGATTGATTGATCGATTGACATGCACCTCGTGGTGGTGGCGGTAATACGTCGACCAACTCGAGTGGTTGTGCCTCAATACAATCACGACGACATAAATCCACTACTAGTAGTAATATGGAACAGAGTAGTAGCTAAGGAGAGCGTGCTGCTTGGAGGCGACTTTTCTGATAATGAGCTTTGGACCCTGGGTCGTGGACCTTGACTGTTGCTGCCTTGTTAAAGCGGGAACTGCGGTTCGGGCAACGGTGGAAGATGGGGCACTTGCTTGGCCGTGGTCCAAAAACACAGCTTCACGCGTGCTGCGAAAAACGAATCCATTCCCAGCCTCTACAACGCGAGCGGACGCGAGTGCGCTGGCGCTCTAGATTTGAAAACTGGCACATCGGAGGCTTTACAACAGCGCTCTCGTTGTAGCATTTCCATCGCATGCATTGATGAGTTGCCTGTCGTGCGGCACATGTGTCTTCTCGCGCCAACCACGACGTCCTCTTGGTATATAGCATCATTTCAAATGCGTCGATTCGGTCGGTCGGCGACTTGGCGTCGGCCAAAAATGCTCACAATTTCTACTACCGAAAACACCAGCAAGACCTGCTCGAGCACTGGATAGACATATTGCACTTGATGGTCGCTGGAGCAAGGACGACTAGTACCGAGTCATATGCTGTGCACGACGGGCAAGCGCGCATTGTCCACGGACAACGCGAACCGTCCGTCGCGCATCCCTTTCGCACGAATTCGGATCCGTGTCCACGGCTGCGAATTGCAACTTTGGCGGGATGCGGCGCCGTGCCTTTTGAAGAAGGGCGACAAGACGCAGCCGTGCTTTTAGCAAGGCGGCTACAAACCTCGTCCCACGGCTCGCACGCAAGATCCCACTGCCACGCATGGGAAGGGGTCCTCTAGCTTGCATATGTATGGTAGTGTATTTCGCTAAACTCTTTGCGTGATGGCTTTCAACGGCTACGTGGTCGGATCAGCGGTGTTGATCATGCCGGAACAGCCCTCACCAGCACTAGCGAGTGGCGAAGCCGTGTACGGTCGCATCTCTGCGATCTTCCCGACAATGTGCCACGTGGTGGTGAAGCGATCTACTCTCGCAAGACCTGAGACGCTCGAGATTCCAGCCACGAGCACGCCCCTCTGGATTGTCGATCCGGACGAGTACCACGAGATGCCGCTCGGTATCTACTTGCGTCGTTCAGTGGTCATCAACGAGGTGGGAGCAGCCATGACGTACGGGCAAGTCGTCGGATACAATGCGCAGCATCATGAGCTGTCCGTCAACTCCCAGTACGGTGTCCTCCATGTGCGCTTCGAGCTCTGCCGGCTTGTGCATCCACTACTCGCGATGCTGCTCTGGAACACCGCGTATGCGTGCACTGAGAACGCTATCGCGACGATGAAGGACTTGGAGCAGATCATGCTCCAGCGTGTCTTCGGTAACCTCCAGGAGCGCGTAGATGCCACCATGTCGATTGGTGATGTACTCGCGAACGTGAAAACCACCGTCGACGACGTCAACCCCAATCGAACCGTCTCGTGGTGCTCGCCGTACACTGGGGTCATCCAAGCGTGCCGGGTTCAGCACGCGGTGAGGTTCGTTTTTGCCGAGAACAACCCGCTGGACCAAGAACGGCGACGCAGTCTCGAGGCGACGATGTTTGATGATCCACAGTTTCGCGAGGTCGACAACGAGCGTCCCGTCCCGCGGGGAGAAGTCGACTTTATGGACCCGAACATGCCGTATCGACCCGAGCAGCTTGTCCCTGCAGCCGTGGCTGTGCAGCAGGCGACTTTGCAAGGGCTCCACAACCGTTTGGTCAACGATCCACCAGCGCGCATGCTTCCGGTCGATGCGATCGGTTTGAACGAGCGACTTGCCTCGAACTTGCTCTCGGATCTTCTCGGCGACACACCGCGCAATGTGTTCAAGCCGGGCAAGTACGGCTACGACCCAAGCCCCGACGACATTTTGCTCTTCCGGGCCATGTTCGGTCCCGAGCATCATGGTAAGCAGCCGAACAAGTTTGCCAAGCAGATTCAGCGCGCACCGGACTTGCGTTTTGCAGCCTACCCGGGTCTCGTGACACGACTGCTCAGCACCGAGTTCGGCGCGGGCAATTTGTCCATCGCTCATTTTTTGCCGATGAGTGATGAAGCCATCGACAAGCTGTTGACCGCGTCCGCGACGAACATGATCAACTTTGGTGTGAACGCGCCGCTGCCGCGCGCTTCGATGGTAACCTCGATCGAGGACCTCGAGGCCAGCGTGGTCAACTTGCAGCGTTTTTATGCTACCTACGGTTCTTTTGTGTCTCAGTCGTTTGTGGCACAAGTTTACTCGTTCGTCAACACGGCGCGATTCACGATGTGCTTCTCAGCCGGGCACTTGAAGGCGCTCGTCAAATGGGTCGATCTCTGCTTCCAGCGCTTCAATACGGAGCTCTCGCAAGACGTGCAAGAGCATGACGTCGACGTCAACGGAAAGCGACATCTTGAAGTCTCAAAGTACCTCTCGCTGACACACCCCGATATCACGGTGATGTTCAGCAATGAGACTACCAAGATCATGCTGAAGGAAGCCCGCAATCTCGATGCGGATGGGAAGGCGCCGCCCAAGAAGCGCAAGAAGGCAGCCACTGCGAGCGGCGCTGGCAGCAAGGATGCAAAGCACGTGAAGAAGGAAGAGACGTCCGTTCCGCAGTGGAAGCGCGAGGTGCCTACACACAACGGACGTCCAGTGTGTCTGCGCCATCTGAGCGTCAACGGATGCGATTCCAAGAGCAACAAGAAGTGCGTTTTCGATACGATGGTCCATCACGTACCAAAGCGCAACGCGTTGACACCAGGCGTGCTCTCGGCCATACAGAGACTCTGGGGTGGCGTCTCGAGCAAGTACCCGCATCTGCGTGAGTGAAGGTGCCGGTCGAGCGACAGGACGCGCTCACGACAGCCACCAAAGCCAGGAGAAGGCGACTCGGAACATCGCAGTGAAGATGACCCGCTCTCTACGGGTCCGGCAGGGGTCACGCCGCTTCAAGCGGCAAGACTCTCGTCACGACGTGCCGCACTCGACGGTACAACGCCGGGGTCAACTCGGTCGTTCGAGACCGAGCCCGGTGAAGACGGCTCCACGGCGCAGCGCATGAAGCTGGCGTATGCTCGATTGACGCGAGCTCGATCCAAGAAAACGCGTCGCGCGCAGAGCTTTTTGGTCTGCGCAAACGTCTCGCGAAGGAACGCGCAGTTGCCAAGGAAGATGTGCTCGTTGACGAAGCGTTCTCGGAAGTCGTGCGTCTAGCTCTCGCGAAGGAGCTTGAGAAGGCAAGACAGCGAGTGACTGATCAACTCCGGGCCGCTCTGCAGCGACATGGTATCCGTGTCGAGCGACCAGAGAGTGACGTCAACGATGCACCGTCCATCGACATCAACATGGCCAAGGGTCTGTCCGAGCTCATGGTCAAGGCCAAGATGTCGCTTGAAGACATGGCTCGTCTCGTGCGCGGTCAAACGCTTGATGACCCTCGACCCAACAAAGCCATTGTGGCGAGTACCATTGATGATCTTTTTGAGCACTTCCCTTATCACGACCTGCTCCTCAAGATGTGTCTCGACGGCTTCAACACGTCGTTTGTCGTGGACGAGCGCAGTCAAGAACAAAAGGCTGAAGGACGCAGTCAAGACAACCACAAGTCGGCCATCGCCAACCCAGATGCGGTTTTGCGCCATCTGGCGAAGGCGCAGAGCAGCGGTGCCATGATGGTGCTCGACGAAGGCCAGTTGTCTGATTGGAGTGGCTGCTCTTGGGGCAGCGCCTGCGCGACATCTCGTTCGACCGCTTCATGCAGGACTTTGCGCGCTTCCCCAACGCCTTTCCGCTGGCCACGTTTACGCAGGTGCGCGCGTCGCACTACACGGCGCTTCCGATGCTTCCGATGCCGTTTGGCGCCAACAGCTTGTTTGAGTGAACCATGGGCGACCTCCGAAGCGTGCTGCAAGGAGGAATAACCGTATAGTAATCACTGCTACTGGATGGTTTCGCCTTCCGTCAGTGGTTGCCCGATGTGCATACAGTATCAGCGATGGACTCGTGGCGGTGGACGGCGAGGCGCTTCGGACCTACCCCTAGCGTCTCGTCGCGCGTGATTGTCGCGGGTTGTGCAGACCGTCCGGTAGTACATATATTTCGGATGCACTAGTTAGTGTCTGTACTCTTGGGACAGCCTACCGGCGCCTCGAGGTCCTGCGATGCTCGTCCGAAGCGCGGTGCAAGTCTTTTAACAGTGTAACGGCCAATCAAATCTGTTGGACATTCGGATCGAAAATTTGCTGGCATGAGCTAGCTACGTTTGATTCGTGCGGACTAGGCCATCGACGCCGCAAGGGCCAGCGCCGTGAACACGAGACCTGCACCGGTGGCGGTGGCGCTGCTGGTTGCCTTGGTGGGTGCAGGTGTGTTGGCCGCCGACTCGGATGCCTTTGTCGTGCTCGGGAGTCCGAACGCACCAACAATGGTCTTGATGCCTTCTTTCGCGTCTAGCGGAGGAAAGTCGGTCGAGTCGACGCCGCCGATGGAGCAAGCCGGCTCAAAGGCCGCAATCGCCGCCGCCGTTTTTTCGTACAACGCATCGCAATTGGAGCTCGTCCACGTCTCGTCATTCGCACCGCCAAGCGCAATAGCGCAATCATACCAATTGAAAGACTTGAGGCGTTCCTCCACGAAGGCGACGGCGCACGGGGCCGTCGTGGCCGACACGACAGCAGCCAGCGCCAACGTGAGGACGGCGAATGGCTTCATAATGGGTATGGATGTCTCAAGTCAAATGGGAAAGTGATTCGCTTGCTGTCGAACGCAACCATGAACGAGATCTTTGCCAAGATCTCGCTGGCCACATGGGCACTGTACTTCAACATCCGGTTCGCGGTAAAGCTACTAAAACACGGACTGCATTGCACAGGTTTGTGGCGACTCGGACCCGACACCACGCGATCTTTCTCTTTCGCAAGAACTAGCTTGACCGAGCGCGCGCAAGAGCTCGGAATTCCACACCCGTCGTCAAGGTCGAAGTGTGTCGACAGCGCAACATCAGCATTTCGTGTGTTTGCTGGCGCACAACGAAAATGGTATGGGGAATGTTGATGTATCTTTTGCGTGATTCAACCATTTTTTCATACCTGTATGAATGGGATGCGCTGCGGTCCTTGGGCGCAGCAGCATCGAACGCGACAATAGTCGTGGCGCTGTGCATTTTTCTTTTTTACGGTGTAAATGTCGCTCGTTTTGCCGATTTGGCGTTGCTCTTTCCTGTTCGCTCGCCTCCTTGGTATGTATTTGTGTTCGTTCGTGTTGCCCGGTCTACTAGTTTTCCTCCCGAGCGATGGTGTACCACTGCCAAGGCCGTGGGGGATTGGCGGCACGAGTTGCTCAACTGCCTCGTTGAAGAGCCCGATCTCCTTCGGCTCCTACGGCTTCTCAATCAATACACTGTATGCTTGGCCACGCCGGCGTCGTATCTCGCGGATCGCGCGGCTGCCGAGGCTGCGTCGTTCAACCGAGGGCCCGCCACGTCCAAGGTCCTCCGGCATATTACTTTCGCGCAATGCCTTTCTCCGTAGACGACGATGACCCGCTTCAGAACAGCAACAGCAAACAATCACCAAACGAAAACACGATACTACACTTTGTCTCGTACATGAACAACATATGCTAAGTGTCCTGCTAAGTGTCCTATCGCACCACTTCAAGCAGCCTATTGCACGAGGTTGCGGTGGTCGAAATGCAACCAATAAATTTTCGAACCTCTTGCACACGCTCGTAGAGTTGATTGCAGAGCCTCCATCAAACGAAAGCACGACCTATCGCACCACTTCAAGCAGCCTATTGCACGAGGTTGCGGTGGTTGAAATCCAACCATTGTTTCTT